AGAAGCAAACGTTACAGCAGAAGATATCATGTACTAAGTCCTTTGTTTGCCATTTGCCTCTTCTGAACTTCCATGATCCTTTGATCATTTGCATACTTTAAAGCCGCTCACATCAAGTAGCATTTCTGGATCTAAAAGGGGGGAAATTAGTATCACAAACAGGTTGATGTCATCAAATGCTGAAATCTGCTGTGTCCATACTCTGGAAGAGGATTGTGTCTCCCTCATCGTGTCCAAAACTTTAGGAGCCCTTCATCTTTTCCTGCTGGTTATAAGGTGTCATCCATAGATCTTCCAAAGGAGAAATTTACACTACCTTTGCCCCAACATTGTGCATTGAAAAATGGATACCTTTGTTTCATGAAAACTAATTCGGTATATCATTAGCCTTTGTTAAGTACCTCAGAAGCTAAAAAGGTCTGTATCACTGTTTGTTTAAAGGTGAGGAACTAAGGAGAAGTTTTCCTCCTGCCACATAATTATTTCTGAAGTGTATTAATTCATACTCAGATATGTTACTCTTGGCAAGATACCATAAGCCTTTACTAAAGATTAAAGGAACTTAACCTTTTTTGAAGAATAACAAAAAATTAGATGAAAACTCATTTCCTATTATGGTTTTGGGGTGTCTCTTGGGGGGGGGGGCTAAAGTATTTGCTTTCCCAGCCAAGCATCACAAAAACTTTGCCCCAACATGCATACAATTCATAGCTGAGATTACGAGAAGTGCACTAATGCTTTTCTGGAAAACTTGTCAGATGGCATTCCCTATCCTATTGTGCAAGGAAATGGAATCACGGAACTACTATGAGCTCTCAAGTCATGAGACTCCCTGGGAATTTGTGGATTGAAGGTCGAAATCTTCAAAATGGAAATTGTGGCATTGTGACCCAAGTCTTTCTTGCCATCTATCACATTTTGACCACCTCTCAAATGCTGCTGTTATTTCAATGATGTCGCCCATAAGGCACTAAGCATTTAATCCTTCTCTTCAGAATCAAAGGAAAATGGTGCTGATGAACCGGTGGCACAAATCACTTTGTCTCCTTTTATTTTTATTTATGATTGTATTCAATTTTATTTTATATCACTAGGTCATTCTTACTGAGCCTTGAAGATAATTACCCAGTCACAATATCCTTAGCATTTTGTAATTTAACTCAAACTTCTCAGATAAATGGAATGCCAAAAAGGAAAAACCATAACACAAAAACGTCCAGGTTTTCCATCTATGTCTATCAAAGCCACCTAAAACTTGACAAATGCACCAGATGAGATATGCATAAATAAAACTAGTGACAAAACAAAATGTTTGCTATTTCTCTCTTGAATGATTTAGAAAGAATAAGATAGGACTATGTGTGTCCAAGGGAAGAGCCTCAGACTTGAGATTCTGTAAAATTCAATGGATGAGGCAGGGAAATACTTTAATAAAGGCACTGCCTTGAATAATTCTAAACTGGGAAATCAGATATTTGTAAGTAACATATTCAGATTATACAATTTGTCTGTACCTGCAAGTATCAGAATTATGCAATCCATAGTTTTGCCTGTCATGCTCTTTAGAAGTGGTCTTGAGCAACAGGACAGGAAGAGCATTGATCTTTTTGAACTTCGTTTTGGAGAAGACACCTGAGAATACAATGGATAATCAAGAAAACAAATAAAAAGATCATCAAACAAAACAACCCAAGACAAAAAGTGACCAGGCTCAAATGATTTTACTTAAAAGACCTTATGTGAAGACCTAGTTTCTGGGAAGGGTGGGAGGAAAGAGAATACAACATCCAGCAGCAACTATGGATATATCATTGGAAGATCTGAAAGACCAGGTTGGAGAGTGTCCTGGAGAAGATCTATGTGGTCCCTAAGAGTTGACACCATTTTGATGGCACAATGTCAGGTAACAATATAGTCACTTGTGTATTCTGTTGTCCAAAATATGAGAATGACAAAGATGCTGTTATCATTGATTGTATTGGGAGACTGTAGTTTTAAGGAATTGAAGAGAATCCAGGAGCCACAAATCTGATTGGCAGGTATTCCAGTCCATGAAGAGCTGGCCTGCCCTCCTCAAATTATAACATCTCAAATCACAAAACAAAGCTGTTCTGTAATGAAAAAGGAAGAGAAGATAATGTAACATTCTGTCTTGAGAAAGGTTGATTGAATCCTGTACCCAAGGTTTTTGTAATTCCGTCAATCCAGACAGACATTTGTAATTGTAGTTTGGGCTGGCCTGGTTGTGCTTAGGGACAACCCATCAAAGGGAAGCTCCACATCTTTCTCAAAACAACATGTGTGAATTTCTCCAGTTGTATACTTCTCAAGTCTTTAAGGGGAAACTCTTCATATCTGCTAAAGATCATGCAGCCAATGAAATGTTGGCATCCCAACCAAATGAAATCTCTTTGTATATGAACACGAACAGTGATAGCTGGTCTTTTGAGACCTATTAATAGATTCAGCAATTTATATATAATTTATTATAAGTTTGTTGTTTGGAACTCACTGGAATAGATTGCTGGAAGGAACACTGGATGCTTTGCAGTTCTAAGCAAAATCACCAATTGGGAAGGAAGATCACTTCTAAATGCTACTGTAGGAAGGCTCCTCTCCCCAGAATAAAATATTCTTTATTCTTAATATTAAAAAGAGGCAGAATAGAATATTTTCCCTGAAGGATAAGAGAAAAGACATCTTAAAGGCAGAAAGCAGCCCCTGCTATAGGAAAACAGCATCAAGCAGAAACTTGAAGAAGCCAGTTTTTAGGAGTGGATATTTAATATCCATTCAGAAAGCTGAGCCAGTCTATTAATAAGCAAGGAGCAGCCAGAAATTCCAAATGAGCAACACAATAGGCAAGAGGCCAAAGCTGACATGATTAACTCAGAAAAACAAAACACCTAGGATTTGCATTTCCCCTTTTGCTTGTAGAGTCAGTCATGACCCCTATATGACCCCATAGGAATCTGGCAATGGCCATTAAAATATTAAATGACATATTCTTGTACAGGAAAAGGCATCTCAATCACAAAGCCCCAAAAACATATAAAAGCACACCTACTCTCAACCTCAATTTGTCAGCCACCCCAGAAACATGCTGATGTCACCGAATGTCCCAAAGGTCAAGAGGCACAGGCCACTCTTTTGAAGACCATATCTTGGACAGAGAGGATTGCTGGTTTGAAAGAGGGGTTAAGGAGATAAAGAGATAGCCAGCTCCATTCATAAGTAAATACCCTCACCCAAGATTCAACAAATTTAGGATTAGCCCTCAGCCACATTAAGAATTGCCCAAAGCCCCTTCATTGCATCATCTCAGTTGCACCCTCTCCAGCAGTTCAAACTTCAACCAAACTTAGCTCACACAAACTCCCAGGATTTGTACTGGCTCCATGGGAGTCTTGACAACAGCCAATAGAATACATGTTCTTGCACATGAACAGGAAGTTCAAGTGCAAAGCCAAAGAGAAGGTATAAATAATCCCCACTCTTGACTCCACGTGGTCAGCTCCACCAGAACTACAAACATGTGGCTCTGTTCATCAATAAATGGACCCTCTTTCCAATCAGCCTCCATGTTTCCAGTGTCTTTCTTCCAGCTTGGAACTGAACCAGATGGATATTACTTCCAACAACTCTATCCTGTTCTGCATCAACTAAGCCATATTTAGTCCAGTTATAGGAGTCACATACTGGAGGGAGATGCACAAGAAGCCAGAATAGGGAAGGTTATGGCAAACAAGCTGGACTCAAATCCCAAGAAGCATATGCGCCTGTTTGTCCCAGAGAAATTGAGGGGGGATTTAATGCCAAACTTGTCATAACAGCAAGGCTATTTTGCTTGACAAGAGGAAGGCCTGTAAATGCAAAGAAGAGACTCTAGCTGGAATTTTGTGTCTGATTTTGACAGGTAATTTTAAAAACAAGGATCTGCAGTTTTCTTGCAGTTTGTTTTTTTACAAAAAAAAGGTGGCCCTTGACTGCTGAGAAAGGGGGTATTGACTAACGTGGCTCTGCTGGCTTAGCACCTAGGATAGGACTAAAACTCAGGGTCTCCTGGTTGGTAGAGCACTTCCGAACCTGGCTGTGGGCTGGAGCTCAGGAGTTGTTGTTTTTTATTTCTCTTTTTGAGTTTATTTATTTGGTTTTCAATTGCTTACAAGATAATAGGTATAAGTAAAAACATAGTTATGAATACATGGATACATATAAGAAAAATTAAAAAAAATAGAATTGGTTTTGGAGAAGAAACCCAAATAACTCCCCATTCACAAGCTGGGCAGAATTTCCCTCCAAGGTCAGGGTATCCAGGTCTCTTTCCATCCCACGCGGACCAGAATCTTACATCCAACGGGGTGGACCTCCTGGTGGACTCGGGTGCAAGAGGCGGGGGAGGGGGGTTGGCCGCTTGGGGACCCCCTAATTCACAGTGAGAAGCGGAAGTCGGGGGTCTGAGATCTGCCCGGCCGCCTGGGATTATTACTTTGTTCGTGCATTGATCAGCAAGCGCAGGGCCTCCCAAGCCGAGCAGAGGAAGCGAGGCTGTTGAATGAAAGAGGCCCGCGGCTCTACCCACCATGGCTCCCCCCCCCCCCATGGAGCGTCTCCTTCCGCCCGGCCCCTGCGCTCTCCCCCCGCCCCGTTCCCATCGTCCCCCAGGCCGTGGGCGGCGACCATGCTTCTGCGGCTGCTGTTGGCGAGAGTCCGGTGCCGATTGGTCGCCCATCCTCCGCGCGCCCTTCTCCTCCTCTCCGCCTCTATGGCTACCGGCGCGAAAGCCGCCGCCGCCGCCGCCGCCGCCGCTCGGCAGGTAGGGTTCGTAGCGCGCCGCCCGGGCTCTGGGAGTCTGAGCGAGAGTCGGGCGTCAAGCCCTCGCGGTGCTTCGTGGAGCTTCCGGGCGGCAGATGCTCCGAGCCTGTCCCTGCCCTTCTCTGGCTCCTCTGACCCTCGCAGCTGGAGTCCTGGCTAGCTGGCTGGCTGGCTGGGGAGCTATAACGAGAGAAGGTGGCCAGGGTGGTTCGCATTTGCCGGTGATACTGTCCCAAGATCAAGCCCTCTGGCTGGAGATCGCGACCCCCCACCCCCTGCTGCAGCAACTCCCCGGATCTGGGTTTTGTTTTTTTTTTTGTAGGAAAAAAGACGCCCCTAAGTGGAGCTTGGTTACCCACGATCATGACACGGGTTGGTGTGTTCCGAAGGGACGCAGAAACCCTTTCTGGATCCCTTCAGTTGCTTAGTAATTTCCTGCTTCCAAGAAAATTGAATGTTTTATTTGTAATGTTAGGAATGTTTTATTTGTCATGTTATATGTCTATTTATAATTCCGTGAAAATCTGTCCCCCCTGGAAGGGATGGCTTAAAGCTTCCGCGGTTTCAACTTTCAATATCTCTCAACTATAACATGAACCGAGAATTCGCTGGAGTTATTTAAACCTGCCTTGCCTCGTTGATATAACATAGAATAACAGAGTTGGAAGGGTCCTTGGAGGTCATTTAGTCCAACCCACTGACAGAGCAGGAGACCCATATCATTTCATACAAGTGACTGTCCAGTGACGGTCTCTTCTGAAAAGCCTCCAGGGATGGGGCACCCACAACTTCTGAAGGCAAGGCGTTCTACTGGTTAATTGTTCTCACCCAGGAAACTTCTCTTTAGTTCTAGGTTGCTTCTCTACTTAATTAGTTTCCCTCCATTGTTTCTTGTCTTGCCTTCTGGCTTTGGGAAATAAATTGACCCCCTCCTCTTTGTAGCACCTTCTCAAATACTGGAATACTGCTATCATGTCTCCCCTAGTCCTTTTCACTATACCCAATTCCTGCAACCAATCTTCATATGTTTTAACCCCCACCCCACTAATCATTCCTGTTGCTCTTCTCTGTACTCTTTCCATGGTCACAACATGTTTTTTTATATTGTGGTGGCCAAAATTGGATGCAGTATATTCTAAGTATGGTCTTACTAAGGCTTTGTAAAGTGGTACTAATACTTCACATGATCTTGATTCTATCCCTATATTATTTTAGCCTAGGATTGCATTGTTTTTTGGGGGAGCTGCAGCCACACACCGATGGCTCATATTTAAGTGTCCACTAGAATGCCACGATCCCCCTCACAGTTACTGGCATTGAGCCACGTTTCACTCAGTCTATACCTATACATTTTGTTTTTCTTGTCTCAGTGTAAAATCTTATCCGTACTGTTTTATCCACACTGAATTTCATTTTGTTGTATGGGGCCCATTATTCATGTCTGTCAATATTCTTCTGGATCTTGAGCCTGTCTTCTGGGATATTGGCCATTCCTTCTAGCTTACTGTCATCTGCAAATATGAGTTTCCCTTCTATTCCCTCATCTAGATCATGTATGAAAATATTTAAGAACATTGGGCCTAAAACGGAACCCCGGAGTACCTCACTGTCCACCTCTCTCCATGTGAATTTAATCCCATTAAGGACTACATGTTGATTACAGTTTGTCAGCCAGTTACAAATCTAGCTGGTGGTGATGCTATCTATCCCAAGTTTTTTTTACTTTATCAAGAAGTAGGTTGTGGTCTACTTTGTTCAAGTTTGTCAAGATCCATCGGGAGGATGAGCCTATGTTCTGGAGTGTTGGCTATACCTGACAGCTTGGTATCATCTACAAATTTGATGAGTTTCCTTTCTATTTCCTCATAAATTGTTTATGAAGATATTGAAGAGTACTGGGCCTAAGACAGAACCTTGGGTACTTCGCTGCTTGCTTCCCTCCATGTAGATGTAGCTACATTAAAGACTACATGTGGAGTGCAGTTTGGCAGCCAGTTTGAAATCCATCTGGTGGTAGTGTTGTCTATTCCACATTTTTTGAGCTTTCCAACAAGTAGAACACATTCAGCTTATCCCTTCAGCAAGAGAGGGAGATCTGCTGTAGCCAGTGATATTTTTCAGGCTTTTTCACACATTTGCTGGTTCATCTGTTGAGAGCTGATTCCTCAGCTTTTCAGAGTAGCTTCTCTTTGCTGCCCTGACTTCCCTTGCTAATACATTTCTGGCCTGATTGTAGAGCATTCTATCTCCTTTCCTGTAGGCTTCTTGTTTGGCATGACATAATTGTTTAAGCCAGCGGTCACCAACCAGTGGGCCGCGGTCGACTGGTGGGCCGGGAGAAAATTTTGGGCTGCAGAGAAATCCCCCTGAAAGCAATTAATCCAGGCTGAGCAGAAACACAAGGCTCTGCCGCCCACATGGCCCGCGGAAACCCCGCCCACTCACTCCTTACCCGGCAAACTTGCCTGCTAAATTACTATTTTTCCTTTTTCCGACCATCATCTGTTCAGCTGTGCCGGGAGATTTAGATTAGCTGGGAAGCAGGAAATGGTTGGATTTCTTGCTTTCTAGCTAGTCTTTAGATCTTTGGCTCTGCTTTTAAGCACAGCCAAACTTCGCTTAATACTGAAGTTGCTATTATTCAGTGCAGATTCACGGCAACCAAATTTTATGTGACAGACTGAGCTAGCCGATGGCAGATAGATAGATCACTGAATGATTCTGTGAGCAACTCAATCTTCCTGCCTGCTTTGCCTGGTTTTCAGTAAAAGTTGCTCTTTTTTAATAAAAAAATCAATATTTATATAAATATCTATATTAATAATAATAATAATAATTTATAACATACAAGCCATGCCCAGCCAGTCACATGACCATCAAGCCACATCCACAAATTAGGCCATACCCACAGAACCGGTTAGTGGTCTGAGGTCATTCCAGCTTTGCTTGTAATTAGGTTGGATCAGAAATCATGTGGTCTTGATCCAATTTGTCCTTCTGTGGATGAACTGAGTGACTAAATTGTATTGATTTTGCATATGTTTTATGCAGACCCCGGTGTGCACATGTTTCACCTCTCCTGCAGGAGCTGCATTGGTTGCCGATTTGCTTCCGCGTGCAATTCAAGGTGCTGGTTGTCACCTTTAAAGCCCTTCATGGCTTGGGAACAGGTTATCTGAGGGAACGTCGCTTGTTAGTCACATCTACCTGACCCATTAGAGCGGAGAGGCAGGGAATGTTGCGGGTCCCATCTCTGAGGGAGATATACCTGGTGGGACCCAGAAGAAGGGCCTTCCCCATGGTGGCTCCTTCTCTCTGGAATATCATTCCCCCAGAGATTAGAATGGCCCCCTCATTAATACTCTTCCGAAAGGCACTGAAGACCTGGTTCTGCCAGCGGGCCTGGGGAACCCAGAGTGGGATGGAGCCCATCAAATGGCTCGTGTGATCTGCTGTCATTGGGGAGGGGGAGGGGAGTTGGGGGATAATTTATTTTTTTATTTTTTTTCCAGATTTTGCTCTATTGCACTTTATTAATTTGTTTGATTCTTTTTGTTAGTTTTTATTTTTTTATATTATTTTTATTTTTTATTTTAAATATGGTTTTACCTTCTGTAAGTCGCCGTGGGGGAATAGGCGGCAATATAAATTCAATAAATAAATAAATATGATCTCAGAGGACTAAATCATATCTGCACTAGATTGATATTGTCCTCAATGACTGGTGGCAGCAGTTTTTCCAGCCTTAACTACAACTTTGATTTCAGTCTGCCTACACCCAAAACATGGTTTAATTCAGAACAGCCTTGCTCTAAGAGATCAGATTTCTTAATCTTTAAATTATGAGGAACTGTGGTTTTCAGCCACTTTTAGGGCAATCATTTTTTAAAAAACAATCTTTTGTATAGAGAAAGACAAGAAAAAACTTGGGCATGCGAGACAAAAAAGAAGATTGGATAGGTTTACTTTGTTGCCAATCTCCCCAAAATTAAAAATACCTCCCCTTTATATATATAAAGACAGATATATATCAATCCTTTAAAATGCCTGAAGGTACAAGTGCCTTGATTTAGCTAGCATCTCGAAGCCTTTAAAGTGAGTAGACCAGCATTTCCTAACCTTGGCAACTTTAAGATATGTGGATTATGCTGACTGGGACATTCTGGGAGTTAAAAGTCCATACATCTTAAAGTTGCTAAGGTTGAGAAATTCTGAAATAGACCATGGTATTTTATATGGTCTTGGAACAGGTCAGGCACTTTCTGAACCGGCTGAGTCCTGCCTGCTTCTAGATTGTTCCTCAAATTTTCCCCAGGCAAATTGAGATAACCAAAATGAAATCATCTCCTGGGAAGGCAGCCCTGAGCTCCCTTGAGGGCTTGCAGTGGCTCATGCCCTGCTATTCCTTTCATTTTCACACTGGGCAAAGTTCAAGCCATGGAGGCGGAGCCAAGCTATCTTCCCCGCTATAAAATCTGCCCCGTAGGGAGCTGAAAGTGCCAGAAGCAGCAGTTTTGCAGACAATGCCTCATCAACAAAGCGGTAGTCCTCATGCTGGAAAGGTAGGTGATCTCAGATCTTATGGCAAGAGGGCTGGGAGTAGGAATTTGCAGCAGTTACATGGTCCAAATAGGGATTTTGCCTATTTCCCAATTTGTATAGCTTTTCACCGCGTAGCTTTTTCTTTCAGAAGACTAGCTTGTCATGAGCATATTTAAGAAGATGATAAGTTTAGGTGAAATTAACCTATTGATTAAAAGTTAATATATCTCAGAGTGACCCTGGTTTCAGTAGAAAAGAATGTTACTCAATCAAAATGATACCTATGAACCTGTGATGGAAATGTTTTGTCCCCCAATCTTGATCCTGTGGAAGGTATCTGCCATTGTTTTATGGATGTTACCTAACTAAACCACCTTCTGTAGGGTCTCATTCTCGGAGCCTTTTCCAGTGACCGTGATGATGAACCTTCTCAGTTGTCTGATGCAGGAGAGGCTTTTGACAAACAAGTCAATGGGAAGCTGAAGGAGTTACTGGCCATGTAAGCAACTGGTTGCATTTCCTCCTTTTTATTAAATCGTTGCAAAATGACAGGAAATAACATTTGGCGTTAACAGATGTTTTGCAAGTAGCTGCAGAAGTTGTTGCAAGTTTGTTTCTCCCTTTCTCTTTTCCCACATTCATCCTTCCTTTTTGCCGTTCAAATGATGTTGATTCCATCTCGCTCTTTGCAAACAACCCCCCTGCCTTTTTTGGGCTTCCCCAAAATGTCAGGTTTTACTCAATTTCAAGTAAGGAGCAGGTGACTAGAAAAATGAGGTGGCTTAACAGTCCTAATCAAAAGGGTAGTGCAACACTTAATATCTGATTCTCAAAAGATTTGCATATAGGTTCTGAATATGAATATAATATTCATATACATCAAGCAGCTCTTTTTCCAGGAGAATGCATGTGCTTTTGTAGCTGCCATGAAGTTCCAGGAAAAGACATGGCTGTTTTAAAAGACTGCTGTTTTATATGCATGGCCCTCTGAAGCACCTTTTGGAAGAGAATCCAAAGTACGCATAGTTTTAATGGTTCACTGATTAGAATTCAGTGATTAGCAATTTACTAAATGAAACTAATGTCTTGGTCATGTTGGATGTTGGTTTTTTATAAAGTCAAAGGGCCCGTCTGTGTTAGTGAGTATTTTAAAACTAGAACTTCGATAGGCTAAGTTAGAAAGGCTTTATTGATGCAAATGCATGGTGGAGACAGTAGTAGGACTGATTACTTCAAACTTTTTGTGAGCCTGAGATAATCACTTGATTTAAAGCAGTATTTTTTTTAACCTGGATAACTTTAAGATGTGTGGACTGCTGTGAGTTGAAGTCTACCTATCTTGCCAAGATTGAGAGACACTGATCTAAAGGTTTTATCTCATCATCTGCTGTTCTAGAGAGAGATAAAAAGTTCTCTCTCAGCATAAAACAAGAATCCTGCCATTCATAGGTTGGTTTATTTAGTATATTTTCCGACCACTATAACCAAAACCTGAATACATGGATAGAAGGTACCCTTAGGTATAAACCAGGCAAAAGCCTCTTCTGGGAAAGGCTAATTTTCTGATCCAGTTGCTGATAGTGTGAGTGGGTAACATCTGTTTTATTGTGGACTACTGAACATCTTTGTGTCTTATTCTAGTTCTGGTCCACCTCTGAAGAAAGGGAAGACCCGCATCTTCCATGGTTTGCATCAGGTAAGGGATAAATATTTAATTTAACCTTGTGCCTCTTAATTTTTCAAGGAATTTTTTTTTTTTTTACTGGAAGAGCTCACAGCTTGCTCTGACCTCAGAAGAAGACAGCAGAAACAGGGTTGAAACAAAGACTGTTACTCAAGTGTTTATGGTAGTTAATGCTAAGAAGGTCATCTAGAGGTAGGAGTTAATATGGAAACCCCAAAGGTGCTTTTTCAAAAAGCAATTGGACTTTGTTCTCTTTGAAGACATTTCACTTTTGATCCAAGAAGCTTCTTCAGCTCTGACTGGATGGTGGTGAATGGAAGGATTTATATTCCTTACACACAGCTGGTCATTTGCATTCTTTTAGAGTTGTTGAGGCCACTTGGAGGTTATCTGTGTCATCAGGATCACCTGAGTAGTCCAAATGGATGTGGAGCTTTCTTGAAAAGACTGCCAGTTTTGGCAGAAGAAAGCTCCACACCCATTTGCATTATTCAGGTGACCCCTAGGACACCAGATAAACCTCCAAGTGGCCTCAACAAGTCTTTAAAAGAATGCAAATGACCCGTTGTATACAAGGAATATAAATCCTTCCATTCCCCACCATCCAGTCAGAGCTGAAAGAACTTCTTGGATCAGAAGCAAAATGTGTGCAAAGAAAACAAGTCTAGTTGCCTCTTGAAAAAATATCTTTTGGATAACCATGACCTGGATGACTGAGAATCTCCATAGACAATAAGATGGAAAGTTTGTAGATTTAATTAAAGCATTTGTACAGATAGTCTTTGACTTACAACCTTTTGTTTAGTGACTGTTTGAAGTTACAGCAGCACTAAAATGGTGACTTACAACCAGTCCTTCATTTACAACTAATACATCATCCCCATGGACAGTCTGATCAAGAGTTGAGCACTTGACAACTGGCATGATGGTTCTAGAATCTAGATCATGTGATCACCATTTGTAACCTTCCCAGCCCACTTCTGGCAAGCAAAGTCAATGGGAGAACCTGAATTCCCCTAATGACTACATGATTTATTTAACACCTGCTTGGCTGCTTGGAGGAGGCGACCTGGCGGCGCTCCGGGTTTCCCCTCCGCCGTGCGGCTCGGGGCCAGGCGCGAGCACCTGCGAGTTGAAAGGAAGCCAAAAGTTGCCGGGAAGTTGCTCGGGTTTCCGGGGCTTCCAGGCTTAAACTTTGCACAGGCAAAGTTTGCAGGTGGAAGCATCTTCCCGCTAAGGAGCGGGAAGGGTTCCGCCCGGTGGGCGGGCGAGCTGCTTGGAGGAGGCGACCCGGCAGCGCTCCGGGCTTCCCCTCTGCCGCGCGGCTTGGGGCCAGGTGCGAGCACCCGAGAGGAAAAAGGACGCCGCAAGTTGCTGGGAAGTTGCTCGAGTGCTGGGAGCCACCGTCGTGGTGAGCGGCTCGTCGGGCACATACGCGAGGAGGAGGGCTTTTAAAGTGCCGCCCGAGCAGGACTGCCGAGCCGGGAAACGGGGCACCAAGGCAGGGCAAGGCTCCACCAGCAGCGGCCTAGCTTTAGGTGGGCTTGGATGCCCCTGAGCGCGGGTTTGCTGTTTGTTGTCTCCTGGGACTCGCGTTTAGAAAGCGTGGAAAGTAGTAGCAGGAGCAGCCGCGGTGTTATTTTTTCTCTTTATATAATATATATATATATAATATATATATATATATTATAAAGGGCCCATTATAAAATGCAGCAAATTATATATAAGAATATTATATATATATATACATATATATGTATACGTATACGTATACATGTATACATATATACATATATACATACATACATACATACATATATATATATAATTTGCTGCATTTTATAATGGGCCCTTTATAATGGCCTTTTGTAAAATTGGTTCGGCCCTCGAACGCAGATCTGATTTTCCATGTGGCCCCCGACAGAAATTAATTGCCCACCCCGCCTTAGAACATACTTTGGAGAGCATTTACCGCATAATGCTAGTTTAGTCTCCCTTAACAGATAATTTAAAATGTGAAGTAAATACTAGAATTGATCCGATCTTGAAAGATATTTTTTGAAATTCCAGTTGGTTAATTTTAAACAAAAATAGGAAAAATGAATTGATTTTCTTTTCTGTTTTGTTGCAGGCCTTTCCAAATGTAGTAGTTGTTGGCCTGGGAAAGAAAGCAATGGGAATAAACATAGATGAAAACTGGAATGAAGACAAGGAAAACATACGGGCAGCGGTGGCAGGTTAGCAAAATTAAAACATTATTTTTGTGTTAATGTATAATCTCTAATATTGCTTCCATAACGAGTGCAATCTATATTTTAAAAGGTTGTCTCCACTTGTCAAGCTTAGTAGGCCTCGCATTAAATTCTGTTGGACTTAGTGAATATTGAGCATAATGTTGTAAGCAGGATGGATAAAAGTCTATGATTTTTTTTTAATTTACAAGAGATCAGGCCTCTTGCAACCTTAAAATAGGGAATTTCAATAGGGCAGTCCGAATGGCAACTGATGGAATTGCCTGTTTTACACAAATGTGATGGGTGTGTAAGGCTCTTGTCCTTGGCACCATGAGGGAAGCATGGCAGCAGAATCCAGCCTAAATGCAAAACGTCAAATCTCATATTTTCAACGACCCCACTTTTTGCAGTCTTTAGAACCAAAGCTGGCATAGCAATTGCTTTGTGATAGCTTTCCATAAAAGAAAGTGATCAAAGAGTCCAACCTAGAACTAAGGAACATTTCCTGATAGTGAGAACAATTAATGATTGGAACGACTTTTGCTTCAAGAAGTTGTGGGTTCTCCTTCACTGGAGGTTTTCCAGAAGAGAGCCTTTTGTCTGGAATGGTACAGGGTTTCCTGCTTGAATGAGCAGGGGATTGCACTAAAAGATCTCCAAGGTCGCTTCCAACTCTGTAATTCTGTAATTCTGTAATTTCATTTGACTGTTACTCAGTGGGCTAATAAAGTGGCCTTTGACGGAATTGAGTTTTTAGCATGGCTAAATAAAGGCACATATTGCAAAAATTGCTTTTTTGATGCATTGTGTACTTTGGCCAGCTGAAATTGCTCAGTCATCATTTTCTAACATGAGAAAGTTGGGTGAGGCACTTTCTCATTCCTGAATTACCTGTAGGGAGTTGCCACAAGATAAGTCATCTAATTGTCCTATAATTAATCATTTTCACTTCAGAAAGCTTCGATTGCAGAAATGATTGCCTTGGTTGACTTTTAGTCCTTATGGCAGGGAGGTGTGTTTGCTAGAAAACTCCTTGCTTCTCTCTTGGGGGCGGTCATAATTTTTCCAATGTGTATTTTATTGTTTAGCTGGATGCAGGCAGCTGCAGGACCTAGAACTCGCTTGTGTTGAAGTGGATCCTTGTGGAGATGCTCAGGCCGCAGCTGAAGGGGCTGCCCTCAGCATCTTTGAATATGGGGAACTGAAGCAAAAAAAGAAACCCAACCTTGAAATTCAGTTACATGGCAGGTAACCGAGATATCACCTTGGTATGGTGCTTCTGTTGCAGAAATAATTTCTTTGCTATGAAGTGTTGAGAAATAAAAGGCTGGGGAATGAAGTCTTTACTGAAAGTCACTCATAAGACCTTGCACTTAAATAAGCAAATCATTTCTATATGCAAACATGGTTTATACTTCAGCAGTGATCAACCAGTGAATCAAGAGCGTTGGCAGCGTGATTTGGTTTGTGCAGTCTTGATAGATTTGCTATCCCAAGGAGTCAAACTTGAGTAATTTGCCCTAGTAAAGGATAGCAGAGGTTTGAATAATTGGGGATCAAGTTAGACAAAGTTGCTGGAATATCAACTCATTAGAAGAGAGGAGCTAATGAATAGTACTTCCCTTAGTTGCGTGATGGAGGAGACCCGATTTTAAGTCAGGCTAAATATTCTCCATTTTTACAACTTAGTTATTAGCAAATTTATAAGTACAACAATAACCAATGCAAACTAAAAAAATTGAAAGAAAAGGAAAAATAGCTGCAGAAAAAAAGGAAGAAAAATAGAAAAGGACAAGTAAGAATCTAGCTAGGAAAAAACTTCACTCCTTTTCACCAACACTTTTAGCATCTTACTGCATTCTCTGACTATATGTACATACAACAAATGTTCTCTTCTTTCTATATCCCATCTCTTATCTATAATCAAATCCTTAAAGCATCATCATTTTAGTTCTGATGTCAAGAAAAAGTCCATTAAGATTTACTAGAAATAGCATATCTGTTTTGACCTTGACAAATTCCTTCCTTTTACTTCTAACAATATTGATCTTTAATCACTTCAAATAATAGTAACAGAGTTAGAAGGGACCTTGGAGGTCATTTAGCCCAGCCCCCTGCTCATGCAGGAGACCTATACTATTTCTGACAAATGGCTATCCAGTCTCTTTTGAAAAGCCTCCAATGATGGGGCATCCACAACTTCTGAAGACAAGTTGTTCCACTGGTTGATTGTTCTCACTGCTAGGAATTTTCTCCTTAGTCCTAAGTTTCTTCTCTCCTTGACTATTTTCCATCCATTGTTTCTTGTCTTGCCTTCAGGTTCTTTGGTAAATAAGTTGGCCCCCTCTTCCCTGTGGCAACCCTTCAAGTATTGGAAGACTGTTATGTTACTCCTGGTCCTTTTCACTAGACTAGGAATACCCAATTCTTGCAACCTGTTCTTTGTGGGTTAGGGTTAAGGGGTCCCAAATTGGATGCAGTATTCTAAGTGTGGTCTTATGGGGTTTTTAAGTGGTACTAATGTCTCGTGTGATCTTGATTCTATCTCTCTGTTAAGGCAACCTGGTATTGTATTAGCTTTTGTTGGCTGCTGTTGCACATTGTTGGCTCATGGTTAGATGGTTCGTCCACTACGACTCCAAGATTCCTCTTGCAGTTACTACTATTGAGCCATGTTTCACTAGTGTACTTAAAGGTGCTACCCTTGGTTTAAGCAAGATGGTTATTTCTTCTCCCAGAGAAAATAAAACTACTGGAGGCTATTATCTTGTGATCTCCTCACAGAGACAATGTCTGGAGCATTTATGGGCAATCTCAAATCCTCTCCTTGTCTGGAGAGGAATTATTGAAGAGCCCGTACCTGCCAGCCCTTCATTCCACCACAGTCGTAATCTGCCATTTCCTGTCAAAGTCCAGGCCAATATTATTTTGTTTGGGCTATCCAGCTTGAAAAGATCAGCTGTTTTCCTTAGAGCCCCTTGTCATTCGGAGCACCTCCTTAGAAAGAAATAATCCTGGCAGAAGCTGCAATTCTTTGGCTGTGATCCTGCTCCTTACCATGTCCTCTAGGTATATGTTCTCATTGAAGACTCTTCAGCCCGCTCACATGGTTCCCAGACTGGGTTTTTGAGCTTGATCTTCCCTTTCATGAATGTAAAGTTCCACAGTTCTGTTTCTTGTTTTAAAAAACTCTGCAGTAGCACTTTATAGATAAACATTCTGTGTTCCTGCTTAGTGATGGAATTGATGCCTGGCAGAAAGGGATTCACTATGCAGAGGGCCAGAACCTGGCCAGATATCTTATGGAAGGCCCTGCAAACCACATCACACCAACCAAATTTGCTACCATCATTGAGGACAAGTTGAAAAGCTTCAGTAGCAACACGACTGTTCATAAACGGTAAGTCCAGTTTAAGAAGTTTTTAGTTGGTAGCATCTTTCTGAGAATGAAAGAATGTAGATTTTATTGCTGGCACTTGAAGTAAGTAGTGGGATCCACAGGATTCCCAGTTATGTAAAGACAGGTGCACTTAATCTGCGTGCACATGTTGGTGAGAGTGGAATGTGTGTGTGAGAGAGAAACGACGCAGAGGAGTAACAAGAATTACAGGCAGTGCTATTTGAAAGGGTTTCCTCTCCGCCATTTCTCTTCTCCGCTCTGCCCCAAACCAAGCGGCGGGGATGCTTCAGCAGAGCGCCCTTCTAGCGTCCACTGCCCTGACAAAGGTAAATCTGAAGTAGGTGGGAGCCACATCCGACTCTTCTGATGGCTTCCCCACTCCCACTCCGCTTGAGGGCGGCCAATACACAAGGTGTGAGTGTGTGTTGAGTTTGGCATTTCACCTTCCTGTCTTTTGCGAACTTTTGGCTGCATGCAATGAAAGCAGCAGAAGTAGCAGAAGTCTTTCTTTCTCTCCCCCAAATTCCACCAGAAATGAGTCTTTGTGAAATTCGTCGTGCTGCCACCTCAGCTTCTTGGAGCAAGACCCTGCAAGGCTTGTGGCGTTGCATGCATGAACGGCAGCACCGCCACGATCTTCCTCATGCCGGTGCAGCTGACATCCTGCCACTCATGGCTACACCTGTCGTTGAACCTTGTGGTGGTGCTGCCATTCACGCAAGCAATACCACAACAAGCCTTGCAGCAGCCTAAGGACCGCCGGAGCTCCAGGCCTGGCGGAGTGCAAACTGTGCTTGCTGCCTGCTCCATAGCCACAAGGTGAGCTGCAGAACAGAGGGGCCCTCAGCTGCAAGGTTGCCTGGCGCCATGGGCAGGGCTGGGGCTAGCAAGAGTGCTCTGGAAATATCTCCAGGCACCCGGAGAGACAAAGGTCCCAACAAAGAGCTTTCTTATAAGAACCAAGGTCATCTCCACTGGCAACAGATAAAGTTGGGAAGAGCTCCTCAAGTAACTTAATTGGCCAACGTGACCGATGACATTTGGGGCTGGGGATTATTTCCTAGTTTAATTATACTGAATCCTTGGGAAAGATTTCGATTTGACTTTCCATTGAAGTTGTGCTGATATGATGTACTCATTAAAGAAGACCTTTGAGAAGGAGCCAAGTCTCTTCTGATTTGCTTGAGTTCATTAGTCTGGAGCCTTGAGAGCAGGTCACCATGTGACTGGACCTGTGTTTTTTATGTCCATTTTTGCGGTGGTCATTAAGCAATTGCCACACGTTAAGTAAATGCCATGGTCATTAAATGGCAAAGCTAGAAATAAATGCTGGTTTCCAGCAAAAATGTACATCACAGTCACCTGACTTCAGGATGCTGCCAATGACCATATATGAGAGCAGTTACTAAGCAGCAAAAATGCAGTTACATGATTGGGGGTGGGGCATCCATTGAACTTTGGAATTGAGTCATAAGTTGCTTTTACGGAGGACTATTATAACTTTGAATGGTTCTAAATACCTCATCATAAATTGAGGACTACCTGTACTTTGTAAATTAATGAAGGGGAGGAGATATTTTATACAGGAATCATGAAAATTACAATTGAGTGATACAGACCTAATAAATGGGCTGTTTGATTGGTCTGAGAACAATGTTTTCCTGGTCTACATCTTTCCATGAGTCCCTGCAAAGAGGAAAGGCAGAAAGGTGTTCATGAAAATGTCCATGCTTTTCAATAATAAAAGAATTTTAAAAAGGATACTGTAAAAGCAATTGTTGCAGAGGAGTGTTTACACAGAATAGTTGTAAAAGGGAAACCTGGTTAATATTTTTTTTCCTTTTTATGTGTTTGCTTTTTTGTCATCTTAAAATTTGAGGAAAAGGTTGCTATTTTGCAGATCATCTGGGGCATTTGGGAGTACAGTGTGTGTCCTCTTTCAGTAACTGGGAAAGAAATAATGCAAATTGTTCCCTGTCATTACAGAGATAAATCTTGGATACAGGAGCAAGGAATGGGCTCATTTTGGAGTGTGGCAAAAGGCTCGGAGGAACCCCCAGTCTTTTTGGAAGTCCACTACCAAGGCTCCAGCAACCCCAAAGAAGCTCCATTGGTATTTGTTGGAAAGGGGATAACTTTTGACAGGTGAGCATTTCTTAGGAGCACTTTTGGAGCAGAATTTAATTTCTCCTCTGTTCCCGGAATGAGTATTTTTTTTTACCATAGGATGCATTTTAATTGTCCTGCTTACCTACAATTTCAGCCTGTGGACTTCATTCTTCTCCAGTATTATTCCAGAAGATCTGAATTGAATGTTTTTCTGTTGTAGAACGCCCCCCACACACACCTTTCAGATTTATAATAATAGTGCCACATTTCCCTTTTTCATTTATTATAACAAAAAAATTGTGGCTTGACATCCGAGCAAAGTTTTCTCTTGATACTGAAAGTTTTGTGGAGTGGGATGGGCATCTCTTGTATTTTTTTATTTTATTTTGTGGCATCTCTTGTAATTTTTTCCCAGTGGTGGCATTTCCATCAAGCCTTCAGCCAATATGGATGCCATGAGAGCAGATATGGGAGGAGCAGCCACCATTTTTTCTGCCATTGTCACAGCTGCAGAGTTGAAGTTACCCATTAATCTAATTGGTAAGTAGATTGTAGAAGAATAAATTCGCAAAAAGTTATTTGAATTGGAACGTGATGTCAACAGATCTTGGGTCAGCCCATCTTGATTCTCCAAGGTCTGTGGTAGAGAAGTTATCCCATGATTTGCTTCCTGGGCTGGAAATAGAACTTACTAAACAAACCGAATTAGCTGCTGAAATTGAAGGCTGAATTGCCTTGTCCTTCTAGCTTCTTCTCCAGAACAAAATCTGGTAATGTAGACTGGTGAGATTCCATCCTCAAGAGTCTTCCAGTTCAGACATTCCAATAGATGTTCCAGTTTGGGGGTTTGCCACTTTGTAAGGATTCCCGGTTGCTCTACCTATTCCCTTCTCACATGATGTTATAGATATCCTTTACCTAATTACCAGTGGTCCTTAATAACCACTCATTCAGCAACCATTCAAATTTGTGATGACACTGAACAAGTGATACTACTGGTTCTTTCCTAGTTCCAGCCACTGGAATGTTTCTGTGATTGTGATTGGGACAGCTGGCTTGTAATAATGACATTGCAGTATCCTGCATCCTTCTTTGCTGGCTTCCTACAAGCAAAGCCAATGAGGAAGCCAGCAGGCGCTCACAAATGGTGGCCATGTGATGCCCTCACTTTGTGACCCATGGTGATTCACTTAATGAAGCCTTTGCTAAGCGGTATCGTCATATGACATTGTGTTTTATGACTGCATTGCTTAGCAATGAAAATTTCAGGCCAACTTGGAATCTTTAATTGAAGATTACCTGCATTTTATTTTCAAATATTTTTCTTTATTTTAGAAGAATATAAAAAATAAAGAGCACCAATAATAACAATTAAAACTAAACAAATCAGGCAACCAATTTAAGACTCTAATCGTAAGACAGGACATAAAAATATATTAATTTTAGAGAAATAATGATAGAAGTTTTATAGATAGTGAAATATGTGGTATTAGCAAGAGAAAGAGCAAGGAAGTGTGAAAAGCAAACCACAAGCATCATCTTTCGGTCACAAAGTCATATTTGCCAAGAAACCTTGTCTTGCTTATAACAAAACCACAAGCTAGGGAGTTTAGCAAGATGGGTTTGTGACATCCAGCCATCCTAGCCTAGCAACAGGGCATCGATGGGGCAAGGGAGGGTTCCTGCGGGCCATGTGGGTGGCGCAGCCTTGTGTTCCTGTGCAGCCTGGATTAATTGCTTTGGGGGAGTGCTTTGGGAGTGACATTTCTCTGCAGACCACCAAAATTCTCCGCAGACCACTGGTGATCCAATAATGTTACAGTATGCATAAATTCAGTTGGAATTCTTTATATCTAAGGTCTAGCCCCCCTTTGTGAAAACTTGCCCAGTGGGAAGGCAAATAAACCCGGAGATGTTGTGACAGCCATGAATGGAAAAACGATTCAGGTATGTTTTAAGATGCTTATTCAGCACAGGTTTTAATAAAGTAACATGAGGTTGGGTTGGACCTGAGGTTTCATCTAGTAACATAATTTCTAGCTGAACAAATAAACTTTATATCAACAGTTGCTTGCAAAAGCCCCATGGAAAGGCCTAGAGGCCAAGTTTGCTAACGTTTCTAAGTCTCGTTGAAGGTCATCAGTTTTGAGGGAATGTTAGCAATTTCATATTTAACAGAACAATAACGTATGTTCCCTAATGTGGTCCTGTGCTGGTTGAGGAATTTGGGGAATTGATGTCCATATAATTTAAAGCTGCTAGGTAGAGAAACATTGGGTTGACTATTTGTATTAACCACCAGCCTTTCAGGATTACAATACCATTGCAATAATAAAAGAATTGCAACCTTTCATATTTGCCAGTCTGGATAGGGGATTCTTCCTGATTACCATACAAAATGTGGGGCAGGAAGTAGTTGCTACTGAGAGAAGATGTTGACAGATATCCTCCAAGGATATCTTACTGGCAAATAAAAATATTTTCACAAATATTATACTCTTTTGAGCTTTGTTTTGTTCTAGTGTATCCATTATTTTATAGCAGTAATTTATTTCAGGTTTGAAGTTATAATGCATTAAATGTTAGAGTTTTAAACTGTATTATTAATCCCCCCCTCCTCCCAAAAAATTAACTATTGATGATAAAGGCAAGCTTGTTAACCCACACTGTTATTACAAGTAGAATGTAATTTTCTCTTGCTGATTTTCTGATTTCTTCATAAAAGATTGACAATACAGATGCAGAGGGAAGATTGGTGTTGGCTGATGCTCTTCACTATGCACACCATTTTAATCCAAGGGCAATTTTAGATGCTGCAACATTAACAGGTAGCCCTTTTTTATATTCAAACAATTTATATTCCATATTCCCAGAATATTTTTTTAATAATGCTTTATTGATTTTTTTCCATTTATACATAATACCAATAGTTATTAAACAGCGCTGTGACATTATATATACATTCATGTGTCCTATCAAAACTTACAATGCATAATACTTTCATACCCTCTTATTTATTATATACATTATTTACATTTTCTATTTTTATATCTATTACCTATCCAAATAAAGTAAACCATGTTTCCCATACTGCATTGTATTCTGTGCCTGTTTTCCCTTTTAATTCCATAGTTAATTTATTCATTTCCACACACTCTAAAATTTTTTTGATTATTAAGCCTTCAGGTGGTATAGAGTTTTCCTTCCAGTACTAAGTATATGAAATTTTTGCTGCTGTTAATATATGTAATATAAGATATTTTATCTTTCTATTATATTTTTTTGTATTATTCCTAAGAGAAAGTTTAATGTTTTCCATACATCTATTAGGTTCAATTCCTCTGTTATATCAAAAATGTTTGTGGCAGTATATTCCTTTTTTTCATTTTTTTATTATCACAGACGTAGTCTTTTATAGTCTCTACTATTCCATTATAGTCTCCAACTATGCATATATCTTTCTGACCTGTCTCAACAATTTTTTCATGAAATTTTTTGAGAATTCTTTTTGGTTTTTGTTAGGTGCATATATATTTACTAGTAGTATCTGTCTTTGTCCTATTTTTATCTCTAGTATTAATATTCTTCCCTTAATGTCTGCGTAAATTTGCTTTGCTTCTGTCTCTTCTCTGATATATATCACCACCACCACCTTTTTTCCACAGCCAATGCAGTATGGAGTTTCCCCAATTTATTAAATTCTAAATACTTTTTGTCTTGACTATTGATATGTACCTCTTGGAGGCACACAATATCTATATTTTGTTTAACCAGTTTTGATAGTATTTGTTTTCTCTAAACTACAGCATTTAATCCATTTACATTTATTGATAATAGTTTTAGTTCTTTTTCCATATTTTTATTAGTCTATCTACATCTAGTTCCTGTTAGGGTTTTTTTTGCCATTCATTTGGGATCTGGTTCTAATGCCTTCTTCCTTTTGGGATTCTTGAGTTTCTTTTGTCTTATCTTCCTGGTCTTCTATCTCTGATTCTACCTGGCCTTCTTCCTGGGTTCCTTCCTCTAGCTTCTCTCTACTGTTGTCATTTTATTCCCTTCCTGTCAATTGGTTGTAGAGTTCTTGGGCTTTATCCAGGTTATCTATTTTTATCTTTTTTCCTTGACATGAGACCAGCATACCTTCTGGAATGCTGAATGAAACAGAATGTTTCATTTGTTTAGTTGTACTGCCAAGTGATGATAATCTTTACGTTGTTCTTTAACTCGTATTGGTATTTGTTTGAGAGTGATAATTTCTTTGTCCTTATACACTATAGGTTCCTCCCTTGTTATTTTATATATTATGTCCTGATGTTCTTCCAGGCAAATCTGACGTGCACTTCTCTGGGTAACGATGTCTTTTGGCATAATTAGTCTGGACCCTGTAGGCCTCATCTATCTCTCTTATAACCTTTTGGGTATTTCTTTCCAGGGTTTCTGCTATCAGTTCCGCCATCTATTTTCCCAGAATATTAGGAATACTATGAAAAGTGCCCCTTCATGTGCAGAATATTTTAATAATGTGTTGTCTTGCAAGACCCTCCAAATTATATGGAGAGGACTTGTATTATCTTAAAATAATGGATTTTTTTTCTTTTTTACTAAGGGGTCCTCCCTCTTCCCCCCCTCCCCAGAAGAATAGGCTACATATTCAAATGGAAAAGTATAAGCTTTGATGTTTAAAATAATGTTGACCATAGCACTATTCTGACTACTGGGAGAGGATTATTTTAAATACAGATTCAGCTTTTCATCAAGGTTGTGCACTTAAGCAGCTCACTGTGAGCAATTGAAGCAATTAAAAGCAAAGCAAAACAAAAACAGGTGCTGATACTGCAGATAATAAAAAGGTTGAAACATCAAAAGTAAATCCAAAACTATCTGAATAAAATTATCTTTGCTTGGCAATAGACACTAAAAAGAGTAGGATGGATCAAACAAACTTTTCATAGGACACTTCCAACAAGTGGGGTGGAACTGTAAAACAATATCTCCTATGCACCTGATAGTAATGTTGGTGTGCAAGAAAATGGTCCAACTTCTTAGAAAATAGAACATATTGATTTTTTTAAAAAAATCTATATATTATAATCTTGCAAATAAAAGAAAAAAAGATATTTTTAGAAATGTGAATATAAATTGCTAGCTGATGAGCAATTAATACTAGTCGACATTGAAAACTGGCTGGATAACCTGTATTTTGTAATACTTTATAGGTGCCATGGATGTAGCATTAGGATCAGCAGCTACTGGGGTTTTTACAAATTCACAGAAGCTGTGGCATCACCTGTATGAGGTAAGTGATGCTTCTAATAATTGATTTCAAGATAGGCTTTGATTTAGAGCAAGGATGTCAAATTCAATCACATTGTGTGATGCATCGCAATGTATCGTGATGTTTTTTGCTTTTGCGGAACCAAGGTAGGATGCATTCAGCCCATGGATCGCCAGTTTGACACCCCTGATTTAGGGGTTTTTTAAGAAAAGATTTAACCCTTTTTATTGAGAACCCAAGTTATGACTATTGGCTACAAAAGCTAAACAGAAAACCTTGGCTATGGAGTTGATAATACTTTTGTGAACTGGTGATAATTTCCTCACGTTCTTTTCAACATTCCTAGAGGCTTCTGCCTATATTGCTGCCTAAAGTAAGCCACCTAGAGACAAACAACACAGCAATGCAACAGAGGATATTTTATCCTGTCTCTCATATTTATCAGGCAGAAAACAGAAGAGAACTAAGTTTGGGTTTATTAATGTTAGTTAACAAAAAATGGAAAACAGTATATTTGATGCTTCAAATTATTTCAACAATTTGTGTTACAAATTTTTAAATAATTGTCTGACTGGTCTTGCCAATGCAGCATGTAGCCAAGATATATAGATACAAGATACATTTCTGTAGGTGGCAGATGAAATAGGCTACCAAGTCCTTTAGCTAACTGAATGTTTCAAGGGTCATGCCCTTTGACCAGGCATGGATGTCAAACATGATATGAAAGCAGATATGAGAAGTGGCTTTGTTTGCAATGAGAACAAATGATTTAGTGGATAAAGCAAAGATTAAAGAATGTCAAATTAATGTTTCAAAGAGAAGAAACGAGCATTGGAAGGGTAAATGCATTCAGTTTCAGCAACTATAAAATGATGCACAAGTATTATATATATATATATATATTTAATAAATGATACCTTCATAGATACACTGGGAGGACTGAACTTGTAGGGATCTTGATGCATAAATAGTTTGGTAATAATATTGCCCAAATCTCAGATTGCGATGAAAAAGGCAGGTTGGTTGTGAACGTCATTAAGAAGAAAATTGAAAGTCCCACCGTTCCGTGCCATTTCCTGAGATCAGTTCTGTTTTATTATTCTGAAGCAGTATTAAAAAAACAAAGGGGATTTTAATAGAAGATGAAGCTTAGAACCTAATAGCTGTATTTCATACTCTCTGCTTCAGTTTAAGTCTAACTATTGGGCTCAATCATTAAAAGCAAACTAAAGACAGTAGAGAATTGTGTGGAAATTTGATATCTGAATAGATTCTTTTCTCTACACTGACAGGCTAGCATTCTGACGGGGGATCGAGTTTGGAGAATGCCTCTCTTTGAACATTACACAAAGCAAATGACAGACTGCCAACTAGCAGATATCAATAACATTGGAAAATACAGGTAACATAGCTAAGATGAAATGAAATGCTGCTGCTATGCTATTATGTTCATATTACTTTTTCCCAGTGCCTACAGAGAACTTGGGCAAATAGGAGTTAAAGGAGGGACCTACCTGAAAATACTCCAGATGTTGTTTATTTGGGCATGGAGTCAATAGAGCAATCATCTATGGCCAAGTTCATGAGGGTAATGACTAGGCAGAGGAAGCATAATTAGTAGACCAGTGAAATGCTGTGGACATAATATATTTAGACTTTAGCAAGGAATTTGACAAGTATACCACAGCCTACTTCTTGATAATGTAAGATTTAAAAATGTTCCAAATCTTATTTTATGCTCACTAATTTGACAGACAACTCTGAACAAAGAAAGATTATTAAAAATGCGTTTGCAAAGGCAGGCCTTCACGATTGAGATCATAAAGCGCAAAATCCAATATTTAACCAATACATTTTATACCCTCTACACAATGCACGCCATGCCTAAGAAGCCCTCTCCACTCCCCTCATTATCTCTAAGTCAAATTATAAGCTAAGCTTGACAATTTCTTCAAGACAACAGATACCTTGTTTACTTGTAGCTTTACCTTGGGTGGATGTTCCTATCTTATTTACTTGTGGCCTTGCCTTGGGTGGATGTTCCTGTTTTCCAAGAAGATTGTAGCAAGTCATCACGTACTATTTAACTGAATATACTGTGGGGTTAATATACAACAACAAGAACATCATAGCTTAATAATACAATATATACTTTTATAAAAGAATAGTTTATTATTTATTTCCTTTAGTAAGCTAGAAAAATGTGGGAAAGCATCACCACCAAATGGATTTGTAACTGGCTGACAAACCGTACTTAATGAGTAGTCCTGAATGATACTACCTCCACATGGAGGGAAGTAAGAAATAGGGTACCACAAGGTTCTGTCTAAGGCTCAGTACTCTTCAATATCTTCATAAATGACTTACATTAGGAAATAGAAGAGGAACACATCAAATTTGCCGAGGACAGTAAGCTGGCAGGAATAGCCAACACTCTAGAAAACAAACTTAGGATCCAAAAAGATCTTGACAGACTTGAACAATGGGCCCTACCCAACAAAATGAAATTTAATGTGAAAAAAAGCGAAGTTTTACACGTGGGCAGGAAAAACCAAAGGTACAGATTAGGTGAAACTGGCTCAAAAACAGTAATTGTGAGAGGGACCTTAGAGTCTTAGTGGACGATCACTTAAACGTGAGTCAGCAGTGTGCAGCAGCAGCCAAAAAAGCTAATACAATCCTTGGTTATATAAACAAAGGCATAGAATCAAAATCACTTGAAGTATAAAGCCTTAGTAAGACCACACCTGAAATATTGCTTTCAGTTTTGGTCAGCACATTTAGAAAAAAGATGTTGAGACTTTGGAAAAAGTGCAAAGAAGGGCAACTAAGACGATTAAAGGCCTGGAGACTAAAACATATGAAGAAGGGTTGCAGGATTTGGGTTTGGCTAGTCTAAAGAAAAGAAGGACTAGATCGTAGTATTCCAGTATTTGAGAGGTTACCATAAAGAGGAGGGGGTCAATTTATTTTCCAAAGTACCAGAGGGCAGGACAAAAAACAGTGGATGGAAACTAATCAAGAGAAGCAACCTGGAATTGAGGAGACATTTCTTAACAGTGGAACAACTTGCCTTCAGACATTGTGAGTGTTTCATCACTGGAGGTTTTTAAGGAACACTAGACAGTCATTTGTCTGAAATGGTATAGGATCTCCTCCTTGAACAGGGGCCTGGACTAAAAGACCTCCAAGGTCCCTTCCATCTCTATTCTGATTCTGATGTTTGGCATGGTGATAGCCAGCTTTATCGATAGCTTTTCCCCTAGATAAATTAAGAATACAAAAAAATCTTACAAATAAAACTTTATCTTTTGTCCTATTAGGTCTGGTGGTGCGTGCACAGCTGCTGCATTCCTGAAAGAATTTGTGACTGCTCCTCACTGGGCTCATTTAGATATTGCTGGTGTAATGGAAAATAAAGATGAAATTCCGTATCTGCGGAAAGGCATGGCAGGAAGGCCAACACGTACCCTGGTTGAGTTTATTACTCGACTGGCCTTAGACAAGCAAATCTTCTAGAAAGCAGATTTGTGAGAATCACCACTGGCTTTAAAAACAGTTAATTTGAATCTGGGATCAGCCAGTGTATGGATAAGATTCCAAAAGGGCCATTCAACTTTGACTTCAGTTTTGGGAGGCGACTTTGAAATGATCCAAAGCAATGGACTATAAATTCATTCCATAGAGTTCTACTAAATCACACTTTTTATCATTTCATTCCAGGAGTTTGTCCTGTATTTGGTATCCAAAGAGCAATCAGTCTAAACCAACATGATTTATAATATGGATTGAATAATAGATACACAGCTATGGCGTACAATAAATATATCTTCTGACAATTCTGGCTGTTGAGGTTTTTGTCTTTTGCAGAATATGCTTCCAAAAGGATTTGTTTCATAAATGGTTAGGCAGAATATTAAGAAAGAGGTGGAGCCTTGTGCCAGCATGAATAAGGCCCTCATTTCTGCATGCCAGCTGGTGAAATTTGAATTTTATAGAGGATGCCCCTAAGGATATGTCTAGCCCTAAAATGGAGCATTGATGGAAAATGTGCTTTATGTGCAAACTCTGCTTCTAGTGGGTGCTGGAAGGACTTGGCAGCCCATCATTCTGTTGCAAGAACTATCCATCTGGGTTCAGCTCCAAGTGAGAAGAAAGACACTGGAAACATGGAGTCTGATTGGAAAGATGGTTTAATGGTGAACAGGACCACATGGGTTTTAGGTCCTAGGCTGCTGACCACATGGAGGAGAGAGAGGTATATACAGGGCTGGAATTCTACCGGTTTCGACCGGTTTCGACGAACCAGTAATTCTGGTGAGCATTTGGTCCTGCCCACCCATCCCTACTCTTTCCTGTGCTTTATTTCCTGGTTTTTTTAGCACAGCTGATTCGTGTGGCAGAGCAGATTGCTGTGCATCAGCAGTTTTACTCACCAGGAACGCAGCAGAAGGTAAAGTAATTGAGTTGAACATGGGCTTTTTAAAATTTGGAGCATGCACGCAAGGCACGTGTTTGGTGTGCCTGCATGCAAAGCGCGCACTCACTGAACCGGTTATTACATCAGTTGAATGTAATATATACCCTCTCTTGGCCCTTGCCCTTGAGCTTCCTGTTCCTGTGCAAGAAATGAATTCTATTAGTTGTCAGACACCCAAGGGGCTATGTAGGGGGTCTGTAGCTGAAGTGGTGTGATATAAGTTTGGTTGAACCTTGCTGGGTGATGCAATAAAGCTTGGTTGTGCCATGTGGTGAGCTCTGCTGATAGATAATCCTATTATGTCCTGAAGGGTCATATCTTAATCCCATCACCCTGGAGCTGAAGGTCTAATTGTCTTGTAGACAGGCTGGCCCAGTCTCCCCAATGTGCACCAAATATCTGCTGGGAGCAGGGAGCTACTCTTTGCCTTTAAAAACATGTTTCTCCTTTTCTCATCCAGGGAATTATAATATTCTGCCTTTTTAATATTTCCCAGAATATTTAATTCCTCTAGAAGGGTCGGTGCCAACTTTCTACACTTCCTAGCAGGAGAGTGTGTGCAGTGCGGGAAGGGGCTTGTGGCATTATACTTCCTACAGGATGAGAACGGTCTGTGGAGATTTTTAGTGCTCTAGAGAGGAGTCTGGTCTTTGCAATCTCTTCCAAAGAAAGAGAGCAACCAATAATTTTTTGTGCTGTGTTTATAACTCTGGAGCATCATCTTATGCACTACAGAGCATCCAGTATACTTCACCATTACCCAGTATGCCAAAATGCTCTCAATGGTAGAATGGTAAAAAAGTAACCAGCAACTTCTCACCCAGACCACTCTTTTTCAGCAGCCTCAGAAAGTGCAGGTGCTGTTGGGCTTTCTTTGCAGTGGCCATAGTGTGGACCGACCAAGTAAGGTTGTTGGAAATATGAGTTCCTAGAAATTTAAAACTATGAACTCTTTCCACACAATCTCCATTGATATATAGTGGGAGAGGCTCTGCTTTGCATCGTCTGAAGTCTATAATCAATTTGTTGGTATTTTTGATGTTCAGGGTGAGGTTATGACTCTTGCAACACAAGACCAGTCTGAGAACCTCTGACCTATAGGCCGTTTCGTCATCTTCTGATATGAGTCCCACCAATGTGGTGTCGTCTGCAAATTTTATTATAGAGTTAGTGGGACAAGAGGGAGTGCAGTCGTAGGTGTAGAGTGAATACAACCCTGTGGACATCCAGTGCTGAGAGCAAGAGTGGAGGAAAAATAGCTGTCAATCCTAACAGTTTGGGGTCTGTTAGTAAGAAAGTCCTTTATCCCAGTAGCCCCCAACCTTTTTTGTGCCACGGCCCGGTACCGGCATCACAAAATGATCCGCGGCCTGGTACCGGCAACAGCACGCATGACAAGGCAAGGCGAGCTGAGCGACCGGCCAGCCAGCCGTCCCCCGCTTCTCCCCGCCACCTTCAACTACTCCTTTGTACCTTTGTCGATGGGCTTTGCTTCAGGACGGCTTTGGGACGGTTGCTCGGCTCGCCTTGCCTTGGGTGCTGAAAGAATCCTCGCGCCTTAGTTTCGTTCAAAGCCCCCCCCTTCGATGAAATTAAGGCACGAGGATTCCTTCAGGACCCAAACGCCACTTTCCAACCGGAAAAGCTCACCCGGAAGCACTTTCTCGTCAAACAAGATGGCAGCACCCAGAAAACCAGCGGCCCAGTAGGAAATGTTCCACGGCCCGGTACTGGTCCGCGGCCCGGTGGTTTGGGACCCCTGTTTTATCCAACAGCAGATGTGAGAGGAGAGGCCCAATTCTAGCAACTTCTTAATCAGTATATCCAGAATGATGGTATTAAAAGCCGAGCTGTAATCACCAAAAGCATCCTTACATAGCTCCCACTATGCTCCAGATGGTTCAGTGCAACGTGGAGAGCCATGGCAATAGCATCCTCTGTGGATCTGTTATTCCGATAGGCAAACTGGTATGGGTCAAGGTTTGATGGGAGGCAATCCTGTATATATTTTAAGACCAGTCTCTCAAAACACTGCATAATTATGGGTGTGAGAGCTACTGGTCTGTAGTCATTTAAAGTTTCAGGAGAGGGCTTTTAGGGAACTGGAAGCAAGCCAGGCTTAAAGACCCGGGAAAAAATGAGCAGCTGCTGCTCGTGCTTTTGCCTGATGACTACAGCAAGTACCCATTGCCACCAGGTGAGAGGTGAGCATGCTAAGGAAACTTAGGCACTACCACTGTGGCGGCTTTGCCTGCGTCTCTGAGGCTTCAATGTTGGGAGAGGCAGCGAGGGCTGGAGGAGCCGAGAACTGCACATAGCTCCATGTCCCCTTCCTTGCCTGCCTCCAGGTAAGCACAGGTGGGGGAGAAGAGAGAGAGAGAGAATCCAAAGCTGGAGAATTAATGGGGAGAGCTGATAGCAGGCACCGGGGGAGGGGACTGTTACTGCTGCCGCCGCCGTGTGTGGGAGCTGGTTGACGCGTGCATCTCAGGGACCTGACTCCAGGGTCCCTTCAAGAGCCTGAGGTGTGAGAACTGCAAGTGGGAGTATTTGGTGGTTTTGAAGAATTCCTAGAACGGGATAGGTCACCGTTTTGTAGGGCTCGGTGAAAGAGTGAGCTTTGTTTCGCCTCCTTTCCTCCTCTGGTAATGTGAGAGATGCTGTCTTTCTCTCTCTCCCGCCCCCAAATATCACTGGCTGTGGCAGCAGCACTAAAGCGAGTGAAGTGCCCCTAGGGACACCTTTCCTTGCTTGCCTCCGGGTGAGGCTAGAGGAGCCCCTCACAGTTTTTCCTCAGATGCAGATCTGAGCTTTCTCAATCCTCCACCCGGGATCTGAAAGGAGCTGCCACTTTCTCCCCCTCCCCTCAATTAATCACCGAGGGCAGCAGTCCTTCTGCAGGCAGCTGCCTGCTGAGAAATCCCTGGAGGGATGGCTGAGGGGCCCCATTTCTGCCTGTTCTTCTCCCAGCAGCAGTTGCCCCAAGGCGCCTCAGCTCAGACACACACATACACACCGCCCATTCTTCTGTCTCTGAAAGGTGCAGGCGCGGGGAGGCTTCCAGCCCAGAATGTTTTCTTTTGTTATGATTAAGCATTTACATTTTTGTTATAATTAAATACACACACACACACACAAATAGAAAAATATAAAATTTATATTTAATATAAAAAATAAAATTGTTATATTAAATATATTATCTTTTTTTAAAAAAATGTATTAGTGGTCCTCGGGATTTAATAGTATGAGTTTGGTGGTCCCTGAGGTCCAAAGGTTGGCGACCCCTGCTTTTAGGACAGAGAGGCTGGTTTGCATCTGCTTAGCAATAAAGGTTATTTTCTTAGCAAATGGCTCATTTTAACCACTTTCACTTCTCTCAACTGACTAAAAGCAGGATGCCCTTAGGCAGAGGTTGTCTTCTGCGCTTTTTGATAGTTTGGAAGCACAGTGGTTTAATATAAAAACAGTCCTTTAGTTCAGAAAACTGCAATTTTCGCTCACTTTTGTCCTTTATTTTGGTTATTTTAACTTTTATCAATAGAAATGGTAAAAAATCTTTTTCATTGAGGTATAAAATATGGAAATTGGTCTTTTAAAAATAATTTTGCAAATTCTGTTTTAGTTACTTTGATATACTGTTTTTGTAAATTTTTCTTGGTTTTGCTCTTGGATTTTCTCTTGTTAGTTATTTCTTTTATGATTATGAATTTCTTGCAGATTTGCTCTTTTCACATTTGTCCTTTATTTTTTCCAATAAAATATGGTCACCGTATTTAGAAATCAAACTCCTAGCAGAAATAAGCGGGAAAAGTGGGGAGGGATTCTTATAAAAATCATGGAGTCCTTGGGCTAAGGAGGCCTCTCCAATACATATATATATATATATATAGACCGTTAATGCGTTACGACCAAGTGCTTGGGGTGGGTAGGGAGAGGCTATTGAACGCAGCTGAAGGGCACGGGGCAACGCCCCAAAACCTTGCTCCTGATCATTACTAATAATTTTTGCAATTTTTTTTTCACGTACGCATGCGTGTTTTCACGGAGGCCCCAAGAAAATGCCTTTTCCGCCTTCGAAGCGCCACCCGAGCCTTCGTCTCGCGGTGTCGTGACGTACCAGCGCGGTTTCGTTTTCTCTTGCGCCTGCGCAATCGCTCCAACTTCCCCTCAGTTATTATGGCTGCTGGACTGAGTGGGATGTTTGGGAATCAGGGCCCGGTGCCACCCCCGCCGCCTCCTCCGCCACCTCCTCCGATGGTCCCCGGAGGTCAAGGACCCGCGGGACTCCTTCCGCCGAACCCCACGGGCCCGCGAAACCCGATCGGTACCCTTGTGGATGATTTGGAGGCTTCTTTTGAGGTAGGCTCTGCAGTGCGAGTGCCTTCTCTTGGCAGAGAGAGAGGAAAGACCGACGCTTGAAGTGGCGAAAAGGAAAGCCTCTTAAACAAAAGTATTGCCCGTAAAACGTGATTTATTCCGCGCTGCAAAAATAGGTTTCTGGAAAATAAGTATGATTCAATTTAGCAAATAAATTAATAGTTCTCCCTTTCTTGAGATAACGAGTTCAGGGTAGTATCCAGGAGGGGGATCTTTTTATCCACGTAACCGCCCAGCGAGGTACATTCGGCTGAAAGTGATGGTCCGACCCAAAGTAATCCACAACAAGCCAAGGGGAGACCCCAGCCATTATCAACCCACACTAGCTTGTTATAGATGTTTCCTTATTCTGATGAGAAAAAAATATTTTGTTAATATCGGGTTAACAGGCGCCTCTTTTCAAGCAGGCGACCATTTAAACACAGAAACGGAAACCCAGATAAAAGGACTATCGGGCTATCTACTTCATCTCTATAGTAAACTCCCTATAGTCCTGCGTTTCTCTTTGTAAAAATAATGCTTTATAAGATAGTATGTGAAATGCCCATGTTTTGTAAGAATTTGAATTTTTGTAAAAAAAAGAAAAGAATTTGTCTTTAAAAATAGGTTGTTAAAAATTAGTGAGCTTGTAACTCTTGTAGGAAAATTGTTTGCATTGCAAATTGTACTGAACAAAGACAACGTAGAGTTTGTTTTTCAGACCTTCTAATTTTATCTTCAGCTTCATCTGAAAAATGGAGCCTATTTATTCCATCCAGACAAATGAATTCTTTTGTTTGGAACCTACTAAATTTGGTATGCCATTTTAAATAAAGAATTAGAAATAAGTATTGTAGAAGTATATTTTTCAAGAAAGCAAAAATATACTGTAGTATAGCTTTATGTGTGCCAAAATAAAGCTCTTAACATTATCTGATTTTGTAATAAATGGTTTTTGTAATTATCTAGGCTTGCTTTGCGTCCCTTGTAAGCCAAGATTATGTAAATGGTACAGATCAAGAAGAAATTAGAACTGGTAAGTTTGGGTGTCCATCTTCAATTTAATTTAGAATATTTATATGCAGAATGTTCATCTCTTTTTCTCACCCTAGAGTTGAACTTTACCCACCTCTATTAAATTGTGCTGATAAATATTAGTAAAGGCTTAACAGCCAATTGTGACAAATTTAGCCAGCAGTGTGCAGCAGCAACCAAAAAAGCTAATACAATCCTTGGTTGTATAAACAGAGACATAGAATCGAAGTCATATGAAGTATTTGTACCACTTTATAAAGCCTTAGTAAGACCACACCTGGAATATTGCATCCAGTTTTGGCCACCACATTACAAAAACGATGTGGAGAATTTGGAAAAAATACAAAGAGAATGTAAGATGATTAATGGCCTGCAGCCAAAAATATATGAAGAACAGTTGCAAGAGCTGTGGTGGCACTGTGGTTACATTGCAGTATTGCAGGCACTTCTGCCAATTGCTGGCAGTTCAATTCTCACTGGCTCAAAGTTGACTCAGCGTTCCATCCTTCCGAGGTTGGTAAAATAAGGACCAGATTGTTAGGGACAATATGCTGACTCTGTAAACCGTTTTGTTAGAGAAAGACCAATTAGAAAACAAGTGTGTGGCTGGCAGGAGCTATGGATGCTCTACAAGATTGCTTTGAGTGCGCAAATTGGAACATACTTAAATAGGCTACATCGAATGGACAAGATACTGATATGAATGAATATGTTTCTGCTGTTTCTGCTTATGTTACAAAGTGTATGGAGGATATCACTGTTCTTAGGACTATTGTCATGAGCAAATGAGAAACCTTGGATCTCACAGAAGGTCCATGCGATGTTCAAGATGAGAAACACTGCTTTCAAATCAGGTGAAGTGGCAGCACTTAGAATAGCAAGAACGGATTTAAGATGTGCTATAAAAACAGCAAAGCGGGCCTATAGTCAGAAAGTACAGAATTTCTTTCAATATCCTGTGGACCCGAGACATACGTGGCAAGGTATTCTGGTCATTACTGACTATAAGGCAGCTTCCCTGACATGTAAGGATGACACGGAGTTTCTAAATAAGCTAAATATATTTTTTGGATGGTTTGAGGCCACAAAATGCTCCAGAAGGAAGGCTGTTCTCCTCCCTGATGAACTGGTGCTCAGTTACAACTGCGGTTGTAAAAAGTCAATATTCAGAAAATTGCTGGTCCTGTGCTATCCAGCTGGCTACTTCTCAAAGACATCTTCAATCTCTCATTGCATCAAGCCATGGTTCCATCATGTTTTAGGAATGCAATCATTGCACCAGTGCCCAAGAAACATATCATCACATGCCTTAATGATTACCATCCAGTTGCACTCGCTTCCATTATATTGAAAGACTGGTAAAGGACTATATGATTTCATGCCTTCCCCCTGCATTTGACTCATTACAGTTTGCCTATCGGAAGAACTGTCCTATAGATGATGCATTTTCCTGCTTCATCTTAGCTTGGTGCACCTGGAGGAGAAGAATACTCGTGCATAATGATGCTGTTTATTGATTTTAGTTTGATGTTCGACACAATCATTCCTCAGCATTTGGTGAACAAATTGGGCCTATTAAGTTTTAATACTCCTGTCAACTAGCCTGCTGCTTGCTGCCATGGAAAAGAGGGGAAGGATCAGTGGAGAACTTTTCACTGCAGCTTTATAATTATGATCTGGGCTTTGCTTATCTCTCCAAGGTCATTTTTTTCTAACTTTGGTATGCAGCAGCCCTCTGGTTGCCTAGCGACAAGGGAATTGGTCTCTACAGTTTGTTTCAAGTTGCTGGTTCACATGCTTTGCCTGAGATCTTGCCTGAAACTTGTTGCTTTCAGTTCATTCCTAGTAAAACTACCTTTTCTCAATCTATGGGGCCAAGGGTTTTTCTTTCCTATGAAATGGACAGAGGCAACCCTAACATTAAGGAAGCTCTGCTTTAATGGTCAACCCAGGGACAGCAGTCTGCCATGGTGACCAAGCATCCAATGTCCAACCATGGGAGTAAGCTGGAGGAAACGAGCTACAGCCAACTCCCCCACTAGACCATACCGTGTTCGAGACGAGGCAGAATGGCGAGAGTTGCACTTCAACGAGAAGCCCATCAGATTCAGAGGGGCATGGGGCAGAGGGAAGACACCCCCCCCGGAGGGAAGCCAGAGGAAATCATGCTGAACCAGGCCTTTTTCCTGGTACAACAGGTTAGGAGGAATCGAAGAGCCCAAAGAACTCTTGCACAGAGAGCTACCAAGGTTCCTGGGTCACCCCAGGCCAAGCCATGGATGGAGCTACTGTGGTGGGGGTCACCTCTGCTCTACCTAAACTGGCACCAGTGAAATCTATGCTACCCTGGGCAGCAGCTGCTACACAAGTTACTCTGCCTTCAGGGATCACTCCTCAAGGACACTTCTTGTTGGATGTCTATGGAAATTCTCAGTCATCCTGGTCATGGTTGTCCCAATGGTGCTTTTTCAAGAGGCAACTGGACTTTCTTGTTTGAAAAAGTTTCCCTTCTCATCTTTTGGGACAACTGTGATAGGATGACTGAGAATCTCCATAGAAATTTAGCTATGCACTTTGGGGTATGAACAGATTTCCAGAAAAACTGCAGACTACAGGAACCAGTTTCACCTCAGTTTGAGATGCAGACGACACAGACTCATCCCCAACAGTCTGTGCTCAACAGTGAAAGGACACAGGGCAGAAAACATCCTGCTGAAAGCATAGTTCCACAACACAATCCTTTCAGCAGTTCGAAGAAGCTCCACAACCATTTGCATTACTAAGCTGATGTAAGACAAATGACCAGCTGTCTGCAAGGAGTATAAATCCTTCCATTCCCCACCATCCAGTCAGAGCTGAAGAAGCTTCTTGGATGAGTAGCGAAATGTCTTCAAAGAAAAACAAAGTCCCGTTGCCTCTTGAAAAAGCATCTTTGGGCTCTGTTGTTGGAATTATGGGTAGTAAAACTATATCATCACTGGAGTGGGTAGAGCTGAAATGTAGCTCATTTTATGTGAGTTTAAGAGGTAAAATACACGTTTTAGGCAGTTTTAGAGAATCGGATGTTTTAGTGCTGGGGTGTCAAACTCGCAGCCTGCGGGCCTGATGTGTCATGTGCTGGCCCCACCCCCTTCACTGGTTGAGTGAAGGAGAAAAAGGTCTCGATACATCGTGTCACACCACCATGACGACACGAGTTTGACACCCCTGTTCTAGTGTCACAAACAACATAGGATCACAGGGCTCCTAGTCCAACCCCTTGCTGAAGGTAAGACTTCATACCATCCCCGTCAAACATAAATCTCAGGGCTACACAGCATTCCCCTCCCCCTAAGCCCCAATTTAAAACCTGAAATTATAACCAGATTGGTTTTCCTCTGGTGGGCCCGGGCAGCTGCTGGAAAGAGGCAGGTCCATTAATTATTCTAATTAGGACTAGAATTTCTGTCAAAAAATAATGTCATGCAGTCATTAGATGAAACAATACATGAGCCCGCTTAGCAACGGCTGTTCTACGAGTCCCAGTTGCAGTCTTTAAGCCAGAACCTCATGCTTCTGCCCTGTCAATCTCACTTCCATTTCAACTTCCCTTGGCCTCTCCATCTCTGCCCTTTTGCCCTCCCGCCCTCTGCCCCCCTTGCTGACCTTTGCCATCTTCTGTTGCTGAGGCAGCTGGTGGCCTTTGGTTTTACAGCGTTTTACACGTGTAGACCCAGGTATTTTACACTTCCCTCGGCTTGTTAAAGTTACATAGTATTTATCTTGACTTTTATTTTTAATAGCTTTAAATGGTTGTTGCTCATTTCCTAGGTGTTGATCAATGTATCCAGAAATTTTTAGATGTTGCACGACAAACAGAATGCTTTTTTCTACAGAAAAGGCTACAGTTATCTGTCCAGAAACCAGACCAAGTCATTAAGGAGGTAAGAATATGGTTTTCTTTTGACATAAGCATGATATCTGATTCTGTGCTAGAAGACAGTAATTGTAGTACGGTAAGTGCAGTGATGGGATTTAGTCGGTTCCCACCGGTTCAGTACAACTGGTACCTGAATTTTTTTGCTGAATTCAGCGAACCGGTTAGACATGTTCCTCCTGAAAAATCTGTTTTCCAGAACACCTCTGGTTTTCATTCAATTTCCTTCCAGGTGGGGGAAAAAAAAACCCTCCCCCAAAGTCCAAGAGTGGAGCTATGGAATGCCACCGCATTTATGTGCCGGGAGATGCTGGCCTTTCCTCTGGCGGGCCTGCTGAAAAGAGGCAGATCCATTTCAGCGCCCGGTGCCTAGATGGCCTTGCTTCCCCCAAGCGTTTCTTTGCCTGATTGCATTTCTCACTGTCGTGTGCAGGGAAACAAGTTTGTGGGAGTAAAGAAAAAAAAACTTTAGTCAATTCCAACTTCGTGAGATCTTTTTTTTTTCTCTCTCGCAAGAAGTTGGAATTGATTGAACTTTTTTTTTTGTCCCACAAACTTTTGTTTCCCTGCACACGACAGCGAGAAACACGATAGAACTGGAAATCAGGTAAGCAAAGAAATGCTTGGGGGAAGCAAAGGCACCTGGGCGGTGGTGAGTGGGGCAAGCTCCGCAGTGCTGTGTTGCAATGGAGAAATGGGAAACTGAGCAGCCAATGTGAGGGAAGGAGACCGCTTTCCCTCTTCTCCCTGCTCCTCTTTCCCTTGTGCCAGCTGTTCCATTTCTCCATTATAATGCAGCACCCAGGATCCACTTTAATAATGTGGTGGTGGTAATTTAAAACCGGTTTGCTCAGGGTCAGGTTGGCAGTTGCATGAGGCTTGTCCCGCATGTGTGGCAGAGGATAAGAATGGCCCACAACGGCCAACCTGACATTGGGCGAACCGGTTGTTAAACTATTTCAGTCTCGCCATTGGGTAAGTGGAATGTTGCTATGAGGCATAAGTCGGGTTAAAAGCATTTATTACATAAATTAGGGCTGAATCTATCCCAATCAGAGTATTTTAATGTGCTTAATGAAGAACTGATTGGTCATTGTAGTAGGATGATGATTTGCAGATATATCTAATCTGTTAATGTATTTTATTTGTTAAATTTATTTGCTGCCTGTCTTGTCATGGGGCTACTCTAAGTGGCTTATAATAATACAAGGGAAGAAAATGAATTGAGCGTAAATAGAAATAAAATAATAGAACAATAAAATAAATAATGAAAACAGAACAATGAAAATAGTACATCAATATTATAACTAAAAAGATAAATGGGTGGAGAGCAGAACAGAACCAAAGGGAGGGGGAAGAAATGTGGAGTTGGCCTTCAATTCAGTACCCACCCAGCCTAGAACTCCTCCCACTTGGTCCCTAAGCCAATCAGCGGAGCCAGGTCTTTAGGCTATTGTGGAAAGATAGGGGGTACTTTTATTTTATCTGTTAAATTTATGATGTTAAATGAGATTTTGAAGAAAACCACTAATTTTTGGAATGTTTTCCTCTCTGCCTACCCATCTTGTGGGGTTTTTTTGTACTAAAATTCAGCCACTGATGCTCTGAGTAGTAGTATTTGTATCATTTCATCTACATAGCAGTAGAATTATTTTACTGTACAATAATATAAATTTTATTTTGGGTAAATGTCCACTGAATTTATGATGATCTAAGTAAAATAGTTCATAGCCATATCCATAAACTTGAAGCTTAAACTTTAAGCCAAAGATTAGCGTGGGGATACCCATAACCATAACTCATCATGTTCTTGATAAAAAATGAGGAGAAAAACCTACTTTATTATTTTGTGCAATACATAAGAATTAGTGTGAGACAATTGTAATTAAAAATGAGGTAGAAATTCATCATAAGGAATTAATGGTTTGAGGAAAGGAAGCAGCTGTTAGTTTATTGAAACACATCAGGATTCTTGTTTTGCTAAGGTTCTGTAGTTGTTTTTGTTCAAATACAAATGTTTTTCCAAGGAGACATTCATAGTTTCTTTCCTGTATGCTTCTGTTTCATGCAGGATGTTTCAGAACTAAGAAATGAATTGCAGCGGAAAGAAACACTAATACAGAAACACTTGGGAAAACTTCGCCATTGGCAACAAGTTTTAGACGATATTAATATCCAGCAGAAGAAACCTACTGAGATGCCTCAGGGACCTCTAGCTTATCTAGAACAAGCTTCAGCCAATATTCCTGCACCTCTCAAGCAAATATGAAAAAGAAGCATAATTGAAATGCCAGAATAAAGTTATACATTTTGTATTGAAAAAATGTTTATTTTTGTAAAAATGGATACCAAGGAACCTAACTAAATGAGGAGGCTACAGCTATCGTTGCATGGATCGGAAAGTATTATCTCTTTTATTCTGTCACCTGCATTGTCTCTCTCTGACTTTGGAGATATTCTAAGAAGCAAGAACAGTCTATCCCATGAACTTCCAACATAATTTTACTTCTGTAAATCAAGTGCTACCGTTAACTTTATCTTTTGGAATCATGGTGCTTTTTAATATTCTTGCACAGTTTCAGCTTCTGGTTCTGTGCGTAAACATTCTTGTGGAACAGTGTAAAAAATACCTATGAGAAATATGTCACGATCTGAATTGTTTTAATACAAAGCAAAAATTACTTTCTGAATCCAGTTTTTGAGCTGGGCAGCTGTATGTTTTAAATAAATTAAAAAATGCACATGGACAAATTAATGTTTAGCTTTATTTTAATGAAGTTACAAACGAATATCTGGTGAAAGTAGTTTTTATTTTTGTGTGATAAATTAACTTTATATATACAAATGTAGATGTTGCTTTTTTACAGACCACTTATAAGAATTTTGCTTCCCTAGCAAGTTCTCTACATATTGCATAGTGATAATAAGAGTTGGCATTTTAAAAATTGTTCTTAGTTTTCTTCCTCTTAAAAGTACTTTAATACTCTAATAGTTGGCACTTAATTGTTTGTGTTTAAGTGCCACAATTTATTTCATTGTTCCAAGAAGGCTCCACATGCACCACTCAGGTGACCCTGACAAAACACATAAACCTCAACAGCTCTCTAAAAGATTGCAAATGACCAGCTACCTGCAAGAAGTATATCCAGTCAGGGCTGAAGAAGCTTCTTGGATGAGAAGCAAAACGTCTTCAAAGAAAAACCAGTAAGTCCAGTTGCCTCTTGAAAAAGCACCTTTGGGGTTCTTAGTACAAATATCTTACTGTACTTAATCATTTAACACTATATCAGTAACAACATCAAGACTTGTGTATTTAAGCCTGCAACTTACAAAGATACTTATGCAGAACAAAACTATTTTAATGGTCTAGGAAACAAACATAACTACTAAAAATACATCACTTCAATTAGTAACTTTAGAATTTTTGAGAGCTAGGAATTCATCAGTGTAAAGGCCCCATTATATGTAATCTGATACAAGTAAAATCTTCAAGGAAGATGTCACCACACAAGTAAACATTTTATTAAGTTACATGTATGTAAGAAATACTGATTCTGGGCAACTTACTTTATAAAAAACCAACAAAATAGAAAAATTAAGCCAGACAAATAGACATGAGGAGGTTGTGCTGAAATATTTTCCAGTCTTAAACTATTTGGCACTTTGAAATACTAATAGCAGCATATACGCTGTATTTAAAGTTAATTGGCTACTTTTCCCAGTTATTAGTAAATAAGACTGACAACTCAAAAATAGTTAATTTGCTTTGTAGTTTGCTATAATGTATACTTTAGAAAATGCATATTGCATCTGGAAGTGGAATGCTTTTATTATCAGTCACAGATGAGCTCTTAACTTTGGTGTAAAACATAGGCACATAGTGCAGTGGAGAGAATGGTTCTAGTCAAGGATGAATGGAATGATGGAGGGGTAGATGCTGCCCCACCATTTTGGCCAGCAAAATGCAAGACAAATGTTGCAGAGCCTCTGCAGTTGTTCCTAACGGCGAACAACTGCTGTGGTGCAGCAAGATTCGTAATTTCGGGACTTATTTGTTAGAGTGCCTATTGCGCAACTTTGAACATTCACTAAGGGAACACTCATACCCTGGGGATTACCTGTACTTTTTGTTCTAAATTTAAATGTAAATTTAATTTACATTTGGTACTTAAGTAATCAGGGTCTGCTATGGGCATTAAGCTCAAACATATTTTGCAAGACACATCAGACTCTTTTTCAGTGGATTTTTTTTCCTAAAAATTAAAAAATGTATGTTTTTTAAAAAAGAAAAGTTAAAAATTTTGAATTTAAAATTAAATTTAAAAAAATTTAAAGAAAAAAAAATAAAATTTAAAAAATCCCATCTTTTAAATGTGCCTTGCTTTCTTTCCAAATTATTTCACTAGAGAACAATGGTATGGCTGTAGCATGTTTGCATACAAATTGAAATATTTACTTGAGATATGAGAATTGAGAAAAATCTGTTTTGAAGTGAAGTAAACTATAGTATTAATCCAGAAATTTCAGAAATACAGCAGTTGAGAGATGCATAAGAACCAAGCTGTTATGGGGAAAATTTCGTTATACAGTATGTTGGAAATGTTGCAGAAGTGATGTGTGTAAAAGTTACTTTTTACTTTATTAGTTTAGCAGGACATGATGACAAAAAAAACACCTTTTGTTAATGGTGTTCATTAAGTATTTATTTTTTTGCAACATCCTCGGTAACAAAGCAGCTTGACATAGATTGTCTCGTACTTTTTCAAATTTGAAGTGAATCAATTCAATCCATCCGGCAATGCTGAAATATCTGCCTTTAGGCATTTTTAACGAAGCTTTACAAACTTATCCTGAAAATGAACGAATTAGAACATTTTAATTTTAATTCCAATTAAATTTAATTGGAATCACAATGGTGCAGTTCACAGCCCGGCCAACAGATTCCCACCCAGAGCTGATGGCCTTTGCCATAATAGTAGAGGAAGAACGCAGAAATAATAACATAGTTTCAACCACGCAGCCCATCCTTCCGCCAACCGCGGGCGTCCGAGCACGCGTGCGCACTTTTCAAGATCGGAGGCAGATATTACGGTCCGGAATCTCCAACCTCTCGCGAGATTTTCTCGGAGACTCCGCTCGGAAGCGCGCAAAATTTGAAGACAGCCCGAGGGTGCGAGGTGGAGGCGTAGTTCCCGCGGGGGGCAGAAACAAGAGATCCGTTCGGGCAAGTAAGACGGGTGGCTTCGCGGCGCGGCGCCCTCTGGGCCTGCGGACAGCAGGGCATCCTCTCCAGCTGTGCGTGGGAGCGCAGCAGGGTCCGGAGGGTGTGGGTATCCGTGGGCCCGCGGGGTTTTAGAAAGATGCCAGCAGCGTCTCAGCAGCTCCCTCCGCCCCCGCCCCCCGAGCTGTTCATTCGGGGTCTCTCAGGGCTGCTGCTTGGGCTGAGCAAAGGAAAGACAGTGGCTACATTTCGATGCCCCTTCCATTAGGATGTTGAAGAAATGTTTCTCCGCTGTCATATTCGGATCTGGACCATTTTTAGACCCAAATTACTGCTTTGGGTTTGGTTTCATGAAGGTCCTTTAAAGCAGCTGCAACTTCCTGGGAATCATATGTTCTGGAAAGCAGTTCTGCCGCTTTAGGAGAACACTACCTTGGAATTAAATTTAAAGTAGTTTATAGCCTCTAACAATTAAATCCTTATTGAAGGTATTTTTCTGCTTGGGAGACCACAGATGGCCTTTGTTTTAATTTTAATGAGTTTGATAAAATTAAATGTGGACCATCTGCAATAGCTTTCTGAAGACTGTAGTCTCTGTTATGCATTAATTTTGCTACAGCTAACCATTGTTTATTAGATAAATCGGCCATAATGGGCTGAGCTGTCTTCAGGGAGGAAAGAATTGGAAGTAATGTCTTCCATATTTGTGTCACCTTGGGTCATTGTGTCTTCCATCACATCAAGGAATGCACTGAACAAAGAAAAGTTGCAAAAGATGAAACACCACCACAACTGGGCACTGCAGAAGCAAGGAACTAGTTGATGGGATTGATATGACAAGTGTTCTTTGTTTTCCATATTTTTCTTTCTCATTACAGCTATGAAAGGGGAAAAGTTGTTTGATATTAGGAAGGTCTTTGAGGAAGCTCAAAAGCCTCACCAAAACCAGGCCAAATTAGTGGCATCTTTAAAGCATACCTATAATGAGGTAGGTATTGTTTATCATTCCTTCTTATGGGAGTTCCCACATTGGCTTCAAAAGTCACTATACAATCATTTTACTTATAAGACTTCAGATGTGAAAAACATGAAGCCTTTAAGAAAGCATGGAAAAACAAAAATGGGGAAAAAATTACAAGAGAATGATAGTAGTTGAGAACAAGAGGGTTTAAGATCCTATGGGATTTCCATTTAGCTCATAATAAGTTAGACATATTTGCAATTCCAAAGAAACAATATGGATATTTGACATTGCAGTAAGTAGCTAGAGAGAGATACCCATCAGTGAGAAAGAACGAGGAAAAAAAATGTTGCTCAATCATGAAATTGTGTACAACTCCTTGTGATTCCATGGATCATAGTACACCAGACCCCCCTGCCCTCCAATCTCTCCCAGTGTTTGCTCAAATTCGTGTTCACTGCATTGATGACATTATCTAATCATCTCATCTGCAATTAAGATTGAAAACAAATATGGAAAAACAAAATGCTGGAAGGTCTCCTAAAATTGTAGGGGCATTTTGTTCTCTTCCAGTAATTGTGGAAGTAACTTCCCAGCATTCCTCATGCTGATCTATGCTTCCTGGGATTAGCAGAGTTATGTTCACATGTAGAAATGTCTGTTTAAAAGCCAGTTTAATGAGAAATACTTGTGAGAAGAATATTTTGAATGGAATGTATTAACAAGAAGGTCTGCAAATGTCTTGACTGAATTCTTTGGAGTTTGATCTTTTGTTTGATGTATCTAGCCTTTTCTCCAATAACTTATAGGTTAATTCTTGCTCCTAGTTACAAGATAAGGACTGTTTTCATGAACAGTTTGTTCATTATCTGAAGTATGTCATGATAATCTACAAAAGAGAACCTGCTGTGGAACAAGTGATAAATTTTGTGGCCAAGTTTCTGGCTTCATTGTATAATTCTGAGAAAGAGGATGCTGAAGAGGAAGAAGTGGAAAATCCCTTTCTAAATTACCTGTTGACTTTTCTCCTTAAGGTACTATATCTGTAAAGTAATGAGAAATAATTGGTACTACATAGATAAAAACTTTCATTAAAATGTGTATCCAACACCATCTGAAACTTTGAAAATAAGCTATTAATGGTCCAAGTCATCTATGTGTATAAATATCACATTGGGGTGGAGGGGGGAGCTTTCTCTTTTTCTACCCTTGTTAAGGAAAGCAGTTGATTAGCTTTTCTTAAGCTAGTTTCTGAAATCCATTTGTACAGGAGAGTCATTTGTATTCAATGTCTCTGTGTTACGCTTAAATTTGTGGCTTCCACAGATTCATTCCACAAATGAAATTGCTGTCTTTGCACAATAACCTTTGGTAAAATTATTGTGCAGAACATTTCTGGGCTGGGGCAGTTTTTCCATGCTTCAGAAAG